ATCAAGAATGGGTTTAGGCTTCAGCCCGTTGCCTTCGGGTACAGGAGCTGCTATTATGCAGGGCTAAGTTGTGCTGGCCCAATTAGCCCCCCACAGAAGTTGTGTGGTGTCTGCTGGATTGGTTGGTTGAGGAAGTCTCCTAGCGGACAACTACTCCCCCATGAGAATGGCGTTCTGCAGGCAAACTGCAAGCTGAGCGCCAAGGCTCGGAGTTGCCGAACCTTGGCCGCGCAACGTCGAGCCTAGATAAGCAGCTGACGTTTATCACAGAGGTTTTGTCTGCGGGGGATTTCTGAATGAACCAAGGGCGCAGGATGCCTGGCACATACTGTAGCACCTTGGGCAGCTCTTGTCACATCCGCCACATCCGCCACATCCGCTTCATGAGGTTTTCGTCGTTTCCGTCTTCGCTCAACAACCACACCTTTACAGTAACCCGTGTTCGCAAACCTGTCCCCTCCCCTGTCCTGATGGCACCCCCAATCCCCATCCACATTCACTCCTGCTGCCTCTGCACGCGGCGCCACTTCCACCACAACCATTTCGCCTGGGCGTTTTTCGGCCGTTGGATCAATTCCGAGATCGGGCTGAACGGATTTCGATGGCAATGGTGAGATCGGGCCGTTAGATGGCAATGGTGAGATTGGGCAGACATGGGCAAAACATGGAGCAAGACATGCGCAAGGTATGGGGTTCCCATTTCTCCTGGGTATTTTCAGCACCTGACTCTGGACTAGGAGACATGTTTGTGGCCCAAACCAAACCAAGCAGCTGCCCACACCCCCCCCCCCACCCCCCCCGTCACTTCACCTTGCACCATGCTGCTGCAGCAACACTGCCAGCCACACATCAGTTCACTCTTGTCGACAATCTCATGTAAAATTCGTGCTGCGTAAATTGCCCTGTTGTCTCGTTGTCCTCACTCTTGCCTGGCCATTACCCTATCCTACGCGCCTACCTTCACTTGCTCTTATTTCCCTCCGTCCCACATCCATCTCGCTCCCGCGTCTAGAAAGAAGCTCTCGTCTACGTTTCCGTCAACTATTCCGTCTTCCCGACAGAATTTACCCGACTCCCTCCGATCTCGCTCACGACACCATCGAATGGCTCCGTTATATCGAAACAGAACGACACAGCGAAACCGACGGGGCCCCGGGTCGTCGAATGCAACAAGTCGTCGGCGGCGCGCGCACATCCTCTCAGCGTTGCCTGTGCTAGCGGCTGCGCTTTTCCTGCCTGCCCTCGCGCTCGCGTTGCGGCCGGAATTCGTGACAGAACGAGCGGGCAATGCGGACGATAGCGTCGTGATTGCGGTAAGCTTCTACCTCCGAGGCTAGTAATGCACCGGAGGGGACCTCCGCCAGAAAGAGCGCGCGAAGGCATTGCGAACGATAGCGTCGTGATTGCGGTAAGCTTCTACCGCCAGCCGGGGCCAGTAATGCACCGGAGGGAACCTCCGCCGGAAGGAGCACGCGTAGGCCCGCGGTGAACCTTGTGCGGTCCATTTGGAATTTGGAGCGAGCGCGATCCGCAGCCTCGTTTTCCCATCATCAGCGTTTTCCGTTTTCCCTTACGCCCTTGTTTTCCGCTTGCCTCACGCGGGGCTGTCGAAGATATGCTTGGGTGCCAGTCGCGAGAGTGTCGACCCTCGCTTGTCGTCGCTCGCGAGAGTGTCGACCCAAAAGTTCTCCCTCGTCTGACTCACCCTCGCTTGTCGTCGCGCTCCTTCGCCCCTTTCTCCCAAGCTCTGTCTGGTTGCCCGTCGAGTCGACTGAGAAGATCTCCCTCATTTAACGTGCCTTCCCTGCCTTCATTCTCCTTCGCCCCTTTCTCCCTGCAGAGGTACCAAGCGGGGCAGTCGAAGCGCTGTCCTTCGTTTGACTCACCTTCTCTGCCTTCTCGCCTCTCTCCTCCCTTGCTTCCTCATCTGACTCACCTTGCCTGCCCTTCTCTGCCTTCCCTTTCGTTCATTCTCCTTCGCCCCTTTCTCCCTGCAGAGGTACCAAGCGGGGCAGTCGAAGCGCTGTCCTTCGTTTGACTCACCTTGCCTGCCTTCTCTGCCTCCCTTTCGTTTAACCCACCCTCGCTTGCCTTCTTTCTCCTTGGTCCCTTTCTCCGTGCAGAGGTACCAAGCGGGGCTCTCCAAGCTCTGCTTGGGAGCCAGTCGCGAAAAGGCGCGGGCGGTGATCGCCGACGCCGACTACGTCAGCAGCGACGCCAACGTGGCGCTCTCCTATTCGCAGGCGACGAACGCCACCTTCATGTACATCGGCGGCTCGAGAATGAAAGGTAAATCAGTGCCCAGACAAAGCTATCGAGACGCTCCTCTGTCCATTGGTGATCGAGTGCCCATTCCATCTCTCGCTCTCGTCCGCTCTCCCCCTCTCTTCTTTCCTCTCTCCTCTCTCCTCATCCCCTCACACCCTTTGTTTCCCCTCTCTCCTTGTTGTACGTCCCTCCAAATGTGAGCTCATTCCTCACACCTCTCTCCTTCCTCTCTCTCCTTGTTGTACGTTCCTCCAAATGTGAGCTCATTCCTCACACCTCTCTCCTTCCTCTCTCTCCTTGTTGTACGTCCCTCCAAATGTGAGCTCATTCCTCACACCTCTCTCCTTCCTCTCTCTCCTTGTTGTACGTCCCTCCAAATGTGAGCTCATTCCTCACACCTCTCTCCTTCCTCTCTCTCCTTGTTGTACGTCCCTCCAAATGTGAGCTCATTCCTCACACCTCTCTCCTTCCTCTCTCTCCTTGTTGTACGTCCCTCCAAATGTGAGCTCATTCCTCACACCTCTCTCCTTCCTCTCTCTCCTTGTTGTACGTCCCTCCAAATGTGAGCTCATTCCTCACACCTCTCTCCTTCCTCTCTCTCCTTGTTGTACGCCCCTCCAAATGTGAGCTCATTCCTCACACCTCTCTCCTTCCTCTCTCCTTGTTGTACGTCCCTCCAAATGTGAGCTCATTCCTCACACCTCTCTCCTTCCTCTCTCTCCTTGTTGTACGTCCCTCCAAATGTGAGCTCATTCCTCACACCTCTCTCCTTCCTCTCTCTCCTTGTTGTACGTCCCTCCAAATGTGAGCTCATTCCTCACACCTCTCTCCTTCCTCTCTCCTTGTTGTACGTCCCTCCAAATGTGAGCTCATTCCTCACACCTCTCTCCTTCCTCTCTCCTTGTTGTACGTCCCTCCAAATGAGAGCTCATTCCTCACACCTCTCTCCTTCCTCTCTCTCCTTGTTGTACGTCCCTCCAAATGTGAGCTCATTCCTCACACCTCTCTCCTTCCTCTCTCTCCTTGTTGTACGTCCCTCCAAATGTGAGCTCATTCCTCACACCTCTCTCCTTCCTCTCTCCTTGTTGTACGTCCCTCCAAATGAGAGCTCATTCCTCACACCTCTCTCCTTCCTCTCTCTCCTTGTTGTACGTCCCTCCAAATGTGAGCTCATTCCTCACACCTCTCTCCTTCCTCTCTCTCCTTGTTGTACGCCCCTCCAAATGTGAGCTCATTCCTCACACCTCTCTCCTTCCTCTCTCCTTGTTGTACGTCCCTCCAAATGTGAGCTCATTCCTCACACCTCTCTCCTTCCTCTCTCTCCTTGTTGTACGTCCCTCCAAATGTGAGCTCATTCCTCACACCTCTCTCCTTCCTCTCTCTCCTTGTTGTACGTCCCTCCAAATGTGAGCTCATTCCTCACACCTCTCTCCTTCCTCTCTCCTTGTTGTACGTCCCTCCAAATGTGAGCTCATTCCTCACACCTCTCTCCTTCCTCTCTCCTTGTTGTACGTCCCTCCAAATGAGAGCTCATTCCTCACACCTCTCTCCTTCCTCTCTCTCCTTGTTGTACGTCCCTCCAAATGTGAGCTCATTCCTCACACCTCTCTCCTTCCTCTCTCTCCTTGTTGTACGTCCCTCCAAATGTGAGCTCATTCCTCACACCTCTCTCCTTCCTCTCTCCTTGTTGTACGTCCCTCCAAATGAGAGCTCATTCCTCACACCTCTCTCCTTCCCCTCTCTCCTTGTTGTACGCCCCTCTTCAGGTCCCCGCCGCTGCGTGCCCCTGGGTCTCTTGGACGTGTACACCTACTACCCCTCTACAAGCAAGTTCGTTAAGAGCGATCTGCGCAGCCTGCCCGAGCGTGTAGTGGACTCGTCGTACGTGGTCTCGCTGACAGCGCCATCCGCGTTACAAGGCACCTCGCAAGTGAACCTGGACGTGTCAAACATGTACCCCACAGTTCTGGAGGTTGACGCAGGGGAAACGGTGTCAGCTCCCCCTATGTCGCAGGCGAATTTCGCAGTCGCTGTGTCTGACCTCTCATCTCCCTCCGACCCGTACGGTATGGTTTCTTCATACCTCCAGCAGTTTGGCGCGAACGCCGACGCAAACGATCTTTCAGGCGCGATTCTTGTGACATACGACCCTTATATCGAGTCGCACGTTGTGGTGTACATGATCTACCGGCCGGTCTACAGCCCCGCGGCGGTTGTGCAGCAGTACTGTAACGGGAACGCGCCCTGCTATTTCGCGTACGAAATGGTCGGGAGGTACTCGGCTTCGCAGAGCGTGTTCGCGCGGAGGAGAAGGCTGCTGGCGAACACGAAGGGCACAGATACCCTCTCTGCGTATGGGACTTGCGTGCGGTATGTGTTCAACTACCTGTGCCAGTGCTACAAAACCGTTTTCTGCTGAGTGGGCATAGACTCGGGGCGTATTCCTAGGAGCAAATGCTGCTGGAAGCTCGCTAGGCGAAGGAGAAGCAGGCGGAGATTTGAAGGCCCCTTAGCCCTTGCCCCCATGCACTTTCTCGAACCTGCCTGCCTCCTGTAACAAGAATCAGCAGTCGGGACTTGCATGTGGTGAACAACTCTGTACATGATAAGTTTTGCGTGCTGTATTATTATACGGTTTTTTGCTTCTTTTAATTCTTTCAGCAATTGGATATCTGAGTTTCCTATCCCGGGCAGGACACAAAACAGCGCCTCTGGGGTCCGATTTCAGGTACGATACATGAATGATATTACAGCAAGTGCAATTATACCTCCAACTTGCACCCCCCGACAACCCATGACGAGGCACTGTGGTGCAGTGATCCAATCACATAAAGACAGCAGCCCTTCAGAGCTGATTCCATCGTTTTAGTCCCCAAAAGCCACTCGTGCAAATGGCTCTAATCTCCTTCACTTGAGTCACCTATCATCCGTGCGAGGCACCTCGAGTCATACTAGAGGCCTCGTCACCTGGTGGGGATGGATGCAATCACCTTCACTTCAGGAACAATTACACTCTAATCACAACTACACACCACGTTGCCTCTCCTTCAACCAGCTCCAACAGTGCCTCAGGTGGTGGGAGAGATGCAATCACCTTCACTTCAGGCACAATTACGCACTAATCACAACTACACGCCAAGTTGCCTCTCCTTCAACAAGCTCCAACAGTGCCTCATGTGGTGGGAGAGATGCAATCACCTTCACTTCAGGCACAATCACATCTGCCAGCTTGATGTGCCAGTCCCACCTGCAAATGCGTGTCAACCCCTCATAGTGCCAAAAAAACTGAGTAAACACTCCTCCAACAGTGCCTTATGTGGTGGCCTTGATCACCTTCACTTCAGGCACAATCACATCTGGGAGCTTGCTGTGCCAGTCCCACGTGCACATCCGTCTCAACCCGTCATAGTGCCAAAACGAGTTCACCACAAACCGCTCTTTCTTCGCATCCTTCCCAGCGATCCAGTTGTTATGCAGAATCTTGGCTCCCTTTCTCCTGCACGCCTCCATAACATCAGCCGCCTCCCAAAACCCGTACACCGCGCCGTTAGGGTAAATCGCCCTGTCGAGGAAAATCGTCCGCAGCCCGTTTTTCCACACGCATTCCTCCTTCCCAGGAACCACATTCTCCCCCTTCACCCCGCACAGAATATCGTAAAAGCTCGGCTGCTCCGATAACTTAGTTGTGGCGGCATGCGCAGTAATCGCCTCGAACCCCTCGATCGTCTGCGGGTCTGACCGGGCGAAGTAAAACCCCGAGTTGATCCGGCGGATTCCAGTCCCGGCGAGGCTGGCGTTAGGCTCGTTGCTCTGGATCGGGAAGGTGCCGGCGCCGTACGACATCAGGTCCGGGAGAGGGTCGGAGAACCAGACGATGTCGACATCAGTCCAGAGGACGGAGTAGCCGGCCTTGAGCACGCGCAGCACGGCGCGCGATTTGAGCTTGGTGAATTGGCGGAAGCACTGGCTGCCAAAGGCGCAGTTCTTGGAGTCGATGCCCTTGAGGCCTACGCTAACCTGCATCGGGCGGGGGGGGAGTGAATGGGGAGAAGAAGAACGAGGGGCGTTAAGGGGATTGAGCTTTGTGAACTCGCGGAAGCACTGGCTGCCAAAGGTGCAGACTTCAAAATCTGTTCCCTTGAGCCCTACACTCAACTGGTAAACTCACATCCCCGTTTTACCTCACATACCCTTCACAAATCCTTATAACTCACATCCCCTTATAACTCACATCCCCTTATAACTCACATCCCCTTATAACTCACATCCCCTTATAACTCACATCCCCTTATAACTCACATCCCCTTATAACTCACATCCCCTTATAACTCACATCCCCTTGTAACTCACATCCCCTTGTAACTCACATCCCCTTGTAACTCAAACTGACGACTAGACCCAGCCCTGTCAAGACAAACAACCTGCTCAAACCCCCTCAGGCGCGCAGCCCCCTCAGGCGCAGCCCCCTCAGGCGCACCTCCCTCAGGCGCACCTCCCTCAGGCACACCTCCCTCAGGCGCACCTCCCTCAGGCGCACCTCCCTCAGGCGCACCTCCCTCAGGCGCACTTCCCTCAGGCGCACCTCCCTCAGGCGCACCTCCCTCAGGCGCACCTCCCTCAGGCGCACCTCCCTCAGGCGCACCTCCCTCAGGCGCACCTCCCTCAGGCGCACCTCCCTCAGGCGCACCTCCCTCAGGCGCACCTCCCTCAGGCGCACCTCCCTCAGGCGCACCTCCCTCAGGCCCCGCCCCCTCAGCCGGCACACGAAACTCATCAGCGTCTCCGCGTACGCGAACGTAACCACGACCTGCGAATCTGGTCTAGACTGATAAGCTATCATTCCTCACCAGCTAAAAACGAGTACAGAATCGCCCCCTCTCACCTGCTCGTAGTAAACAGCAAGCCCCTGAGTGAACGCGAACCGGTAGAGGTCCTCATCCAGCGCCGCCACCACGAGATTGTCCGCCAGCCCGAGCCCCCGCAGCCGGCACACGAAGCTCATCAGCATCTCCGCATACCCGAACGTAACCGCGACTAGGGTTACCACCTTGTGCCCGCCGATTTCGCGCGCGACGCGCGGCAGCAGCTGCTCCATGGTGTGCGGCAGGCCGATGGACGTTCTAGGGGACGGAACGGCGGCGATCGAGTAGTCCTCCTGCTTGTCGACCGACACCGTGCCGCACTGCCACTTGTGCCCGGTGGGGTCGAGCTTCGGGTCCGACTGTGAGTTCTCCACGAAGTTTGAGAACTCGCACGTGCAGGTCGCGGGGCGCAGCCGCTTCTGCAGGCACATGTTGAAGACTGGAATGGGGGGAAAGGGGGAGGGGGAATGGGGGGAAAGGGGGGAAAGGGGGAGGGGGAATGGGGGAAGGGGGGACGGAGGAGGGAGAGAGCACGGGTGAGTGGCGATCGAGTAGCCCTCCTGCTTGTCCACCGACACCGTGCCGCACTGCCACTTGTGCCCGGGAAAGGGGACGGGAGCAAGTGCGTGGGTGAGTGGGACGGCAGGGATTGAGCGGTGTTTCTCGTTGTCGAGTGCGTGAGACTTCGGTGGACTTCGGTGGACTTCGGTGTTTATCCTTTCTCTCTCGGTGTTCCGTTCTCTTCCCCCTCGAATCCGCTTTCGCTATAATCCCTTCCTCTTCCTCCCGCTCCTGTTTCCCCTCCCCGCCGCTATCCTCCCCCTCCTCTCCCCCAACTTCGTCCAACTCCTCCCCCCCCAAAAAGCTCCGCACCCCAACTCCCCCTCCCTTCCTCCCCCAAAGCTCCCCTCCCCCCAACTGCTCCCCCCCCCCCGGCACCTCCCCAACTCCTCCTTTCCCCCCTCCTCGACCCGAAGCATACCTGAGGGCTCGTGACACGTGGCGAGTTTCCAGGGCACGTGCAGCGCGGTGCCCTTCTGGTTGACGTACGAGCCGTGCGTCTGCGCCATGTGAATGTTCGCGAAAAGCTCCCAGCTGCTGTGCTTCCGCGTCGACCAAAAACTCTTCCCTAGGAGCCCCTTGCCCTCCTTCGTCGCGTCGCCCTCCACCACGTGCGAATAGGAGTGCGCCACGTGGATCGCCGTCACCGCGTCGCTCGCGTCGACGACTTGTCGCACGCCCGATGCGACCATCTCGTGCGTCAGCCAGTTGTCGTATTTCCCGCGTCCGAACATAAACGGCGGCATGATCCCCGCGAAAAGCGGAAGCGGCGAGTTGTTCCAAGCCCAGAAGTCCACGCCGCCATAGGTATGCAGCGACCCGCTTTCCCGGACGAGCTTCTTAATCTCCTTCTCGATCGCCGCGCTGCTGCGCCCGCCTCCGCCGCCCGACGAAGCCCACATGGAAGGTTCGAACGAGTACGGAAAGTCCTCCTTCACGTCCCACCGCGCTGACGTCATCACCCAGTGCGGGAAGCTGCGGTGAATCTTCTCGATGGCGACCATGACGTCATTCAGCAGAATAATATCCCCATTAATGATCATCGAGAGATCGGTGTCGGCGGCTTGCGCGCGCGCGACGATACTATGGAATTGCGGCACGCCGTAGAAATTAGTATCGATGGCGTCGTCGACGGAAATGCGCGTCGGGAACTCCCGAGCGAGCGCGTGAAACGTCGAGTCGTTCCCGAGAAGGACGATCTTAGGAGCCGGAGTTAATCGCAGCCACGAGAGCAGCGCGCGGCGCTGGTTGTCCACGGTGCGGTCCTTAGGGTTCATCACCGACTCGTACGGCTTCGGAGCGCAGAAGATGGTCAGGGAGGGAGCAGCGCCATCTGCGGCGCCTCTCGCGGCGCCACCAGCGCCGTCGCCGCCGGCGGCGCCTTTGACCTCCTTGTTCCGGTACAGGCTCTGGCTTTTCTTAGCCAATAGGAGACCTTCCTGGAGCTCGCGCCCGCGGTGCGTGGCGAGAGCTGGTGAGGCAAGGACGACTGCGGCTACTAAAGTTGCTAAGATAAGAGGTAACCGGAGCCTCATGTTGTAGGAGATTAAAGCGCCTTTACGGCGCAGCTGTGACTGAGACGCTGTTGATCAGATCTAGCCGCTGAGGAAATGCTGCCGAGGTTGAATGACAGACTAAAGCGGTAAGTATTAGGTCTTAGCGGACGTATCTACGACCAGTAGGCGTTGGCAGCTCCACGAATTGGTGTACTGCATCCACAACCTTCACTACAAGTCCGAAACACGATCAGGTAGGGCAAGGGTTTCTGCGAACAGGATAAGTTCTAGTCCTTATGCGTTTCGCAACTGGTGGTGCTGCATCAATGGCAGCGCTGCTGGGTGGCGAGTAGGGTAGGTGGGGGGGTGCGTATGCAGGGGCTGTTTTTGAAACGCCTAATAAATCGGGGGGGGGGTCTGGTATGGGGCTGTAGTTATTCGTTGTGGGAGGAGAGCGTTGCCTTGCGGGGAATGGGAGATTGGGGGGAGAGGGGGAGGGAACTTGGTTCGGTCCGGAGGGGAGGGGGGACGAGGAAGGGCAGCGGCGGAGCAAGGTGCACTTGTCTGTCACTGGGGGAGGCGGAGATGGCGGAGCACCGGTTCGGTCCGAGCATAACGGTGATGGATCGACGGTTGGGATAACACGTCAGGGCATGGCTGGCCACGGGCAGAATGGCATGGGGGGGGGGGAGGTCGGGGAGGCATAGCTGTAGGCTGTCCAGGTCCGGGAAACCCTGGTTCCGCGCGTCTAGGTACGGGTGGATGGAGGGGGATGGGATCATGGGGGAAGAAGCCACTGGGGCATCGTAGCGTCAAGTGGACCCATGGCAAAAACCAGGAGAGACTGAAGAAGTGAGGGATTCATGATGGATGTGATTCGCCAGAAGTTTGTGTGCGGAGGTTCGGTCAGCCAATGGGGCTGGTCTGGCAAGTAAAGCAACAGCTTTGGGCAGGTGGGTTATTTCTTTGCCTTGTCTCCCTTTTCATGCCCTGCCCACCAACCATCAAACCTGCCGAACGAACTTTCGAATCGGTGCGTCCGATCCGGTCGGATCCGGAAAGGACGGGCAGGCACAAGGCATCACCAGGAAACAGCGGCTGAACGAAATTACGTCAAGTGGTTTGTTTTGGTTTGCCGAACCGCTGATGCTCGCCAGGTTGTCATTTCCTTGTCGCAGGATTTAGCGAAACATTGCACCAGGCTTCAACGGTTTTTACCTGGGGCAGTCAAGGAACGAGGAAAGGGAGCTTTGCCACCAGCAGGGAATGCCTTGCAGTCTGCTCAGGCCCAGGGAACCCTGCGTTTTGCATTGTCTGTTGGACGGGTCGCAGGTAAAAGTCTAGATCACAACAAATTTGTTGCCCAAACCCACTGCGCGTCGCAATAGACCGAGCCCGTTAGCACCAGTACGAATTGATATACACGTTCAACGCAACATATGAAGTTCACTATTAATATTGACATCCCAAAGATGGTGACACATACCTAAGGGAGTGAAGAGGAATTGCGAATTGAAAGGGAAACCTCTTGTTAGCTATGGAACGGAGATACTAACAGTGTCCTCTTCTTGGCGTGAATCCTTCGGCCTGAAAGGGCTCAGAGCCTTCACCTTATCCCCGTACTCCCTAGGCACCAAAAACACCAGGCAGTAAGCAATGCTAACAACGCAAGCACCTACAATCGTCCCAACCCAATAGATCCAATGGTTCTCCCACACCCCAGTCCAGACAGCAGCACCAAAGGAGCGTGCTGGATTCATTGACGCCCCCGTTAGAGGAACACCCACAATGTGATCCACCAGCACAGAAAACCCAATCAGCACAGAAGCCAGGTGAGCAGGTCCCTTCGGATCCACAGCAGCAGCAAACACTGCGTACACTAGCAGGGCTGACAATATGATCTCAGTGAGGACGCCTTGACCCACGGAGACCCCGGCGCCGAGCGTGTGTGCTCCAAGAGCGTCCTACAGTCGAGGGGCATGAAAGAGATATGTTGTGCATAAGATAAAAAATACTGGATATGAGAACAAACGCGATGGAGGGGAAGGAGGAGGGGGATGTGTCCAGTGTACAGGGAGGGGGGGTGAGGAAGGAGCGGAGGAGGGGGGGGTGTAGGGTTGGACTGGGTTGTGGTGAGTGAAGGACGTCATTCAGTGAGAAGATGCCAATGATAAAGAGAGAGGGCCTCACATGTCGGCTGGCAGGTGTTATCGCCTTGACAAGGCCAGCACCACACACAGCTCCTATCAGCTGAGCTGCCACATAAGCTGCTGCTGTGATGACGTCAACCAGCCCCACTACCAGCATGCTTATTGTCACCGCTGGATTGATGTGTCCTCCTGAAATCCCGGATGCAGCACCCACAGCGACTACGAGAGCAAGACCATGCGCGATCCCTATGGAGAGAATGCGGACGACATCCAGCCCTTGAACAAATTCACCTGGAAATCAACAGGATAGAAATCAGCGTAAAAAAATTGCAATAATCATTCCGTTTCCACGCACATACAGCAATACAAGCGGCCAGGACAGGACTAGCTTTGAGGAGCCGCGAACTGACTCAAAACTGGGTGAAAATTGGGACCAAATTGGATAAGACTCACTCGAAGGGCCCCTTTGAGTCCCGGGTTTGGACTCACTTGAGACTGGCCACCGAGCCGACGCCCACAAAGACAAAGAATTTGGTTCCGAAAATCTCGGTTGTCTGCAGTGAACGCCAGGTGGACCGCATTCGGACATGCCGAACTCAGCTGAGCTAGGTATTACTCACTTGAGACGGCGACTGAGCCGACGCCCACGAAGACGAAAAACATGGTTCCGAACATCTCGGCCATCGCAGCACACGCCAGGTGGACCGGATTCGGCCGCTGGAGCCATCGCTTGAAATGAGGCATGGCGACGGAGAGGACGGTCGATTCGAAAGAGCAGCCGTCAGAAGCGCGTCGGCCAGAAGAGTATGTCAAAGAATCTCAAGTCAGGGATATTACTCGAGCTCTTTGGAGAGAGCTGTCATGGAAGCGGGATAAGCCGGAGAGTTAATATTGAACTCCGTTGGTCGCGCTGTCATCCGCTATCACCCGCTTTCACCGCGTGCTAGTCGTGTTCTCCACACGGCTCCCGCCAGCGTGTCCCACAAACACGTCATTTTCCTGTTTTCCCGGACACGTCATTTTCCTATCTCTCCGCCGCCACGAGCTCGCCCTGACAGAGCTGATCTAACTTCGATGCCGACGACAGCTCCAAGCCAAGCACGGGACACGATCACGTGAGTGACCAGAATCTCGCCCAATCGGAGATCGACTTGCGACAGCGACTTCGCGGGTCTTTTCACACCGGGCCATGCCAGACCCTGCAATGCTAGACCCTGCCATGCTAGGCCAACGGAGCGTCATGCGCGAGGAGCCAAGCGAAACGAGCACCGACAGGAAGATACATGTGAAGACATGACAGCGAGGAGAGAGGATCATGCATTCCCTACTACAGCCTCGGTTTTCCCGACGCATTCAGTCAGTTGAACGTCCATGCGGGGCTTGTAGACGGAGGCCACCACGCATCCTCTGGTTATGACACGTACTCGTTCCACCGGCTTCAATATTGGCCAATACACACGTTCAATAAGTACTTCAGAACTGCTGATACAGAGGGGACTAAAATAAGAATTAAGAACACAATCCACAACATAAATGCCTATCCCGGAATAAGTTTCACAAGTCTCTGTTTCGGATCCCCCTCTATTGAGGTGGAGGCTGGCTTTCCAGCCGTTGCGGTTTCCCCTTGAGAGTCAGCTTAGCTTGAGGTCGCATTGGCCCTCCCTGCCTCCTCTCACCACCGGCTCTCCTCTCCACTGGCCGAGCCTGTCTTGGACCCGGGCCTGTCTGCCGAACCACAGGCCCCGACTGCCTCCACCACGTCGTCCACCCAAGCCTCTCCGTGGCTCCGAACCTAGCCTCCAGATCGCTCGCCCCATCACTGTCACTCTCCCTCCCACCACCCTCCTCCCAGTCATCCTCTTCTTCGTCCAAACACCCCGCCACCAGCACGGTATGCAGGCGAGCCGATTCTGACTGTGCTGGGAAATCTGTGGTGAAATGAAGACCTCGGCTCTCGCGCCGCCTCAATGCGCTTTGTACAACGAGCGACGCCACGTTGATTAGATTCTCCATCTCACACGTCTCCACTGAGACGGCGCCACGTGGCAGCTGTACAGTGGTCTCGAGGTCCGAGCGCCAGGTGGCCGCCAGCGTGTCGATTTCCCTCTGGGCTACTCGTAGGCGGTCAGTGGATCGGACGATGCCGACATAGCGCCACATTATGGCCTGGAATATCAATCATACCATGCAAGGAGGGTTAGGAAGATAGATTCAAGGGAAACGTTAGATGGTGCATGCAACATGACAACAAGGGAAGTCGAGGGCCGGACAATGTGGACATTGCGCCATGTTACGTCCTGGGAGTGTACTAGAAAATGCGGGAGGCAATGAAGAGGAACTTGAGAGGGAGCACTTGTACTTCCAAAAATACCAGGCATACCAGAAAACCACCAAGTCAAGAAAACCAAAGCAAGTAAAAAAAGCAGCACAGGTCTCAATGGATTGAGAGATAACTTGCACAAGGCTCACCTTTAGCTGCTCCCTGTAGCTGGCAGTCACTTGAGCAGCTGCAACCGCCCCTGGATCCCCCCTCCTCAACCCCACCACCTTCACCACCTCCCCCTCCCCTCCCCCCTCCCCCTCTCCCTCCCACTCCTCTCCACCCCACACCACCCCTTCCACATCCCCCCCATCTGTCAACCCCGCAAGAACATGATTCAGAGGCGCAGCAGCCACAGCATGTGCAATAGCCGGCTCCACAGCTCTCTGGGCAAACACTAGCGCTTCCAGGAGCGAGTTTGACGCCAGCCGGTTCGCCCCATGCAACCCCGTGCATGCCACCTCCCCCGCCGCCCACAACCCCCGGATCGATGTCTCCCCGAACAGACCCGTCTGCACGCCGCCACACATGTAGTGCGCGGCTGGGACCACGGGGATCGGGTCCTTTGTGATATCCACCCCCCAGCGCTTGCATTCCGCCGCGATGTTGGGGAAGTGGCGGAGGATCTCGTCCGTCGGTTTGTGCGAGATGTCGAGGTAGACAAAGAGGTCCCCGCGGCGCTTCAGCTGGTCGTCGATGGACCGGGCGACCACGTCGCGAGGGGCGAGTTCCGCCCGGGGGTCGTATTGCAACATAAAGCGCTCTCCTGCTTGGTTGTAGAGCAGCCCGCCTGCTCCTCTGACAGCTTCGGAGATGAGGAAGGAGTTGGGGCGTGGACCGGGAGGCTGGATGGGCAGCCCTGCGTCTGCTAGAGCTGTTGGGTGAAATTGAATGAACCTGGGGAATGGGGGTGCGGGGAGCGGGGGAGAGGGGGGGGGGAGATACGGGGATGAGGAACGAGTTGGAGCACGGCCCAGGGGGCTGGATGGCCAGCCCTGCGTCTGCAATGGCCGTAGGGTGAAACTGAAAGAGCCTGGGATGAAAGCAAGGGGCAAAAAGTATGGGGCCGGGGATAGCGGGGATAGAGGGGTGAGGAAGGAGTTGGAGCGCGGACCCCCGGGAGGCTGGATGGGCAAGCGGGGCCTTTTAAGAGGTCCATGCTGAATCGTACATATTCTCTCTCCTCATGTTAGGAATGACAGCCCGCGCACGAGAGCCAGGGTGTTTGAAGGAGAAAGAGCGCGTGAGGTGGGTGTTGTGGGGACAGACGAGCAGGGCAGGGCAGGGCAGGGCAGGGCAGGGCAGGGCAGGGCAGGGCAGGGCAGGGCAGGGCAGGGCGGGGGGCGGCACACTCACTTCATGCTGGGAACAACAGCGCGTGCGCAGAGAGCCAGGGATGTAGAAAGATGAATAGCACAGGAGGCAGGTGTTGAGGGGGGAGGAGCGGGGGAGGAGAGCGGGATGGGGGATGGAGGGGGGGATGCAAACTCACTCCATGTTGGAAATGCCAGCGCCGGCACGAAGAGCCAGAGCCACGCCATCCCCAGTTGCCACCTGCACACACATGGTAGGAGGTGATTGGACAAAAGGTGAGAAGGCGATGATTGCAAGCTCAGAGGGCGGAATGTAAGGGGCCGGGAAGTAAGCGGGAGAATGACGTGGCAGTTATGCAACGTACAGAAAGTGGTGCCACGTGTGCAACATACAGAAGGTCATACCACGTGTGCAGCCTACAGAAGGCGGTGCCAGGTGTGCAATGGGCAGAGACAACATACCGTGGGGTTGGTGGTGTTGGGATACACGTGCCCGGCCCCTCCCGAAGCGAGCAGAGTGGATCCCGCAATAAAGCGGATGATCTGCCCTGTCTCAATGTCCAACGCCTCAACCCCATAGCACGTGCTCTGCCCCTCGCCCTCCTGTAGGGATGGGAGGGAAGTGCGACGGAAAGCGGAATAGCATAAGCCGGCGATAACGCGGATGATCTGCCCTGTCTCAATGTCCAAAGCCTCAACGCCGTAGCATGTGCTCTGCCCCTCGCCCTCCTGCAGTGGGAAACGGACAGGGTAGGGGGTGCTGGAACGGTTTGATGGCTGTAGCACCTCAAACAAGATCTGCCACGGTTTGATGGCTGTAGCACCTCAAACAAGATAGGCCACGGTTTGATGGCCGTAGCGTCTCAAACAAGATCTGCCACGTTTCAGTGACCAGCGCTTCAACGCCGTAGCATGCGCTTTGCCCTGCAAGAACGACAGGGGGCGACGGGAGGGCGGCGGGAGGGGTGGCATGGTGTAATGGGGTCAAATCCTACACTGGCATGGTGTAATGGGGTCAAATCCTACACTGGCATGGTGTAATGGGGTCAAATCCTACACTGGCATGGTGTAATGGGGTCAAATCCTACACTGGCCAGATCCATCAGAAAGCTGCTGCTCCGTTCTCCTGTGGACCCCCCTAGATCCCTCGTCCCCCGCTCCCGCTCCTCCCTCCCCACTCACACCTGTCTCATCAGCAGCTCGATCGCCACCATATGGTATTCGAGCATATTAATCCGTTTCGTCCGATTATTGGCGCCTCATATATCCCCTTTCCCTTCCCCTCCCCGCTCACACCTGACCCGTCCCTCTCTCACCTGTCATGTGAGAAGGTCGATCGCCATGTGTTGTTCAAACATATCCATCCGTTTCGAGCCTATTTTTGAGGCGCCTCAAAAATAGACTTCCATCTCTCACATGTCATGTGAGAAGGTCGATCGCCATGTGGTGTTCAAACATATCCATCCGTTTCGTCTTCTGCACCGCCATCAGCAGCGCTGTCTCGATCGGCCCCCCACCCTTCCCCTCTCCCTCCCCACCCCCCTCTCACCTGTCGGGTCAGCAGGTCGATCGCCATGTGGTGTTCAAACATGTCGATCCTCTTCGTTTTCTGCGCCGCCGTCAGCAGCGCGCGCTCGATCTCCCGCCCGGTCACGTCCGCCGCGTGCACAATCCGCGAGTGGGAGTGCCCCCCCTCGCGCGCAAGCAGCAGGCGCCCGTCGTCCCCGCGGTCGAAGCTTGCGCCCATGCGCATCAGCTCGCGCACGCGCTCGGGCCCCTCCCGACACACCACTTCCACCACCTCCACATCGTTCAGATACGCGCCCGCCACGATCGTATCCGAGATATGATTCTCGATCGAATCTAGCGGATCCAGGACCGCGCTCACGCCACCCTGCGCGTAGTTCGTGCTGCCCTCCTGCGGCTCGGCTTTAGTCACCACCGCTACTGTGCCCTTCGCCGCGACGCCTAGCGCGAATCGAAGCCCGGCAATGCCGCTGCCGATAACCACGTAGTCGTAAAGCTTCGTCTCCAGTGGGGGAACGTCCGCCGCTACCGCACCTGCTTGCGCTTCCGCGCGCACAGTCAGGCGCCCCGCCTGTGCTTCCGCCGAGAAAGATGGGCGGGGGAAAGCGGGACGGGGAGCGCTAAGGGCGTCCACGCAGGGAGCCAGCCAAAGGCGTTTGGCTTGCAGTGGTACGGGGAATGCTGACGTAGCAGCGACCGCACTAGCGGAAATAGCGCAGTTCGGCTGTAAGGGGAGGGTTTAGGGGAGAGGAAGGGGGAGGAGGAGGTTATAGGCGGAACCATGCGACTGTGTTACCATACATAGAATTGTATTTTATGGCCTCATGTTAATCACGTGAAGCCAACGGCTTCGAGGGCTACGCGAATCCACGATTCTATGATATAGCTCCCAGAAAACACATCGCTAAAAACATGCATCTAAAAAGAGGAACATAAAAAAGAGGGGTTGATATCACACGATGATACAACCGCTGTTGTTTCTACGAAGAGCCAGCGGCTAACACGTACCCGAACAACCTCACTCCTGAGTCGACTCAACGTACCCGAACAGCCTCGTCACTGCGACGAGTGATCCGCCATTGCCGCGTCCTCCTCCCATGCTTGGATGGCCGATCCTGCGCTGCCGCCTGAAAGCAAGCCAGATACGAAAAGCCATTTGAGTCAACTCCAAAAGCCATAACGGCCGATCCTGCGCTGCTGCCTGAAAGCAAGTCAGATACGAAAAACTCATTCAACCCCGGAATCCTTTGATAAGATCACAAGCCAGAAGTAAATCTCTTTCAATCCCGGGATCCTTTGATCGGAAAAGATGCGGAAAATGTACTAGCAGAAACTCATAATCGGCCTGATAGCGTGTACCCTATTGCTAACGTTGAATCTAGCGAAAGAGCATCGACGGACCGTCGAAAGCGCGTGGTTGATAGGGATAATGATGAGTAGGATGAACGCATGCGAAACGGAGATCCAATAACCAGCAACGCCAGACATGCCATCGATTCACTCGTACATCCCCGTTCTTAGATTCCTCCTATCTTAAGCGAGTTATAAACCGACTAAAAAATCACGCACCTGGTGCAATGAGCAGACGGACGGACCAGTCGCTGCAAGTGCCTCCATGGCTATTATGTAGCTCAGCTACAACCAGCTCAATGCAAGCTGGTCTACACCTAGCTCACAACGAAGCCGGTATGGAGTAGAAGTAGCTGACAACACGCAACGAGTTTGACCCTTGACGAGGAACGAACAAGGCACACGGAGGAAGCTGGTCAGCGCAGAGCAGACCTAAACTGAAAGGCCTGAGACTAATCTCAAGGGAAGGGAAAAGAAAGAAACTGGTTTCAAGGCCTGAACATAAACTCGAGGTCTGCGGCTGAACCTGAACCTAGGTGACAGGTAAGGCAGTAGGAGAAGCGGATTGGTAGAGGGTGAGATATGATGGGAGCGATTGGTTGGGCCGCCAATCAAAGCCCAATAGGCGAACAGAACTGAGCAAGTTGATGTGCCACCGAGGCCCAGAGCCATTCTGTAAGCATCACTTTTAGCTGAGGGAAGAGGTAAAGCGGGCACTAGTACAGTAAGTACAAAACGTAATGACACATCGGTTCGCGAGAAGGTGGGTCAGTTGCGCGACTTCCCGCCGGAATGCCTTTTCGGAGCTTGAGGGTGACGTGTTGGGCTCATCGAGCCTTCATTGGGAGTCATCGTCAGCTTTCTCGGAGATGTGGTAGTTGAAGGGCATTTTGAAGTATTACATGGCAGTCGCTAAATGGACGATGAACCAGAAGCTTCGGCGCGTGGATTTGATGGCGGCGGCTTGTCGAAGCTCATCCATTCGTCAGATGGGAAGGGAGGAACGCGTGGTTGGAAGGAAGACCCATGCGCCAGGTCAGGGGGTGGGGGGAGTTGAGGTGACTGCAGACCTGGGGAATAAGTTAGTTTCACCTTCGGGCAGGTTTCTGTGGCAGTTAAGCACATTGAATATCCCGAGATCGGGCAGAATCAACGTTGTGTGTTCCCTCGGAGCTCCTCGATCTTGGGAAGATGCATGTGCGGCACGGTCAGAGATGCAAAACAAACCAACCAATCCCAACGGACGGGAGTGCCAGCACGACTAGTTTCCCGCCATGCTCGACGAAATGGAGGTGCTAGTGTTGTGTGGCGTGCTGAAGCGACAAAATTGGTGGTTCATGTCGTGTATAAGGCCATCACAATGGATTGAGTGAATAAGTGATAGGTTTTGAAAAACATCTCAGAAATAACAATGGAGAACATTCAATCAACGGTATGTGTAAGATGTGCATGGTGATACCAATGGAACTATTTGTTATCTACGTGTGCACTGTGAGCATCATCGTTTCAACCATGACTCCTCTCCCCTTGCCTCTACTTATGTCTACCCTCTTCCTCCCTTGCCCTTACCTTTCCCCTTGGCCCCACTCTTCATCCTCTTCTTCCCCCCATCCCCACCATCCCCATCCCCATCCCCATCCCCATCCCCCCCACCACCACCCCTCTTCTTCCCTCCTCCCTGTGCCTTCACGCTCAGCACCCCGCTTCCTGGCAGCTTCCCGCCACCTGCAGCGATAGCAGCCTCGAAGTCCTTATCTCGACCGTCCATCGCGAATTCCTGCATCTGTCCAGCTGTCAGTGACGTCAGCACGGTGGCAGTTCCGGGTTCTGCTCCTCCCTCCAGCCGGGATTTGATCACCTTCTGTTACCGGGGCAGAGTTTATGGGGCAAGAATAGGATGAGAATACCACTGCTACACTACACTAACCGCATTGCAAGAACATTTTTTGGACTTAAATTGCACCCTCCTCTTCTGTTTTCATTCACTGGCAGAAATAAATACCCAGAAGGTACCAGTGAGCCTCTGATAAATTTGATGGCTTACCTTTGCCTGATCTGCTGCCTCTGCCAAATCTTCGTCCACTGACTGGGGGTGAGGCCGGAGGTCAACCTGGGGGAGAGGTGGAGAGGGGAGTAGGGGGAGGGAGCGGATGAGGGGGGGGAGAAGGGAGAGAGGGAAAGGCTGATCTGCTGCCTCTGCCAAATCTTCGTCCACTGACTGGGGGTGAGGCCGGAGGCCAACCTGGGGGTAGGGGTGGAGAGGAGGGAGGGAGAGAGCAGAGGAAAGGAGTGAGCAGGGGAAGGGAGAAAGAGCAGAACGTGGGATGCATGGGCGTGTGTGAGTCCTGTGCACATGAGCGGATGCGGGTGGCGGCGGCGGCGGCGGCGGTGGCAGCACATGACAAGGCCGCACAACGGAGCAGCATAGGTGCACTAATGAGGATTCTAAAAAATCACGCACCTCCTTGATTCTAGGAAGCGCAGCCTCGATGGTGCGCGCAGCAGCAGCGTGCAGCACACCATGGATCAGAGAGTATCCGGAGAGAGTTACTGGTGCACATACCTCCTTGATTTTACACAGAGCAGCCTCGATCATGCGTGCAGCAGCAGCAACGAGCACCCCATGGATTAGAAAGCATCAGGAGATCAACTCACCTCCTTGATTCTAGGAAGCGCAGCCTCGATGGTGAGCGCAGCAGCAGCGTACAGCACCCCGTGGATCTTGCGGATGGCCTTGTTGAAAAGAGCGAGCACCTGAGAGGGTACTTGAGCGCTCACTCTAGTAGAGGGTATACTGTGCCCTCCCACAACACCACACGCACCTCCTTGATTCTAGGAAGCGCAGCCTCGATGGTGCGCGCAGCAGCAGCGTACAGCACCCCGTGGATCTTGCGGATGGCCTTGTTGAAAAGAGCGAGCACCTGAGTCCCGGGCAGCCGAAGGTTCGCCTATAGGGAGTCCGGGCAGTGGGAAAATAAAGGCTGTGAGAGGGGAGGAGCAGGCGAATGACGAAAGTCCAAGAGGGCAGCTGAATGGATTGGTGCAGCCGTATTTTGAGAATTCTCCAAAAGTAAATGGTTGAGAGCTCGTGGTGCTACAGCTGGATGGGTGTGCTACAGCTGGATGGGTGTGCTACAGCGGGATGGGTGTGCTACAGCCATACCTCAACACCAGTTTGCATGTGTGTGTGTGTGTGTGTGTGTGTTGTGTGTGTGTGTGTGTGTGTGTGTGTGTGTGTGCATACCTCTATGGTGGACAGCTCGTGGTGCTGAAGACCAAAGGAGAGCAGAATGGCATTCAGGTGTGCTACACCCCTCAGTGTTATAACCGCACTCAACACCTCTCCACTCCACAGCCACTGCAACAGCCGTACCTCTATGGTGGACAGCTCGTGGTGCTGGAGACCAAAGGACAGCAGAATGGCAGCTTGGGCGTAGGAGAGAGACGCCGGGATGAGGCCGAGGAAGTAGAGGCGGGCGAGAGGGGGGATGAGGTCCATAATCTGATGGGGGGAGGGGGGGAGAGAAGACACTGTAGGGATGAGGACCAAGAACTGCATGCAGGAGAGAGACGCCGGGATGAGGCCGAGGAAGAAGAGGGGGGCGAGAGGGGGGATGAGGTCCATAATCTGATGGGGGGGAGGGGGGAGAAGGGGGGGGGTACGGGGGAAGGAGAAGGCAAGTAAGAAAGAGAGCCATGCCCCCTTCCTTCCTACCTTTCTTACCTTGCACCAGTGCTGCGCATTCCTATTGGTGGCTTAACTACTTAACCTTGCACCAGTGCTGCGCATGCCTACTTGTGGGTGTGCAGGGTTCAGGGTGTGGCAGTGTTACCAGGGGGTAGTCTTGAGTCGACTCAAAACACACCTTCTGAGTCGACTCAAAACATTCCTACATGTGGGTGTGCAGGGTTCAGGGTGTGGCAGTGTTACCAGGTGGTAGTCCACCAGGTTGTTGGCGTATGACTCCAGCCGCTTCATGTCGTACGGCGACAGAAGCGCCGCCCGCCCTTCCATCAGCCCTGCAGGCACTGCCGCGTCCCTTGCTTGCGCCTCGGAGAACTCGATCTGTGGATCCAGGATGCTGCAGGACGGGGTGGGGGGTGGGGTGTGGGGAGTCGGCGGGTGGACGAATGAGGGTAAGGTGGTGAACGCCGTGCTGCCCGCCCTTCCATCAGCCCTGCGCTGCGGGCACTGCTGCCTCCCTTGCCCATGCCTCAGAGAACTCAATCTGCGGATCCAGAACCCTGAGGAAGGGTGATCAACAGTGAAGGGGGGGGGAAGTGAGAGCGAGGGGAAGGTAGTGCCAGCCAGCAGCAACCCCCCCCTTTCCATCAGCCTTGCTGGTACTGCCACTTCCCTTGCCTTTGCCCCAGCTGCGGATCCAGAATGCAGAGATTTTTTAGGCGCCTAAAAAAATTCCCTTGCCTGTGCTGTGCCTCTGCTGCGGATCCAGAATGCGGAGGAAGGGTGACCGAAGGTGGCGGAGTGAGAGGGGGTGACACGTGACGGGAAGGTGGTGCCAGTAGGGCTGCCCTCCCTTCCATCAGCCCTGCAGGCACTGCCGCCTCCCTCGCTTGCGCCTCGGAGAACTCAATTTGCGGATCCAGAATGATGTGTGGAGGGGAGGGAGGGGGGAGGGCGCCGGGGGGGAGGAGGCGAGAGAGCACAGCGGCTGAGACAAAGGGCGGGTGGGAGGGGTCTGAAATGAAGGAGAAGCCGAGGAGAGAGGGAGGTTATAAGACTGAGGGCGCTTGAGACACAAACGCTTGCTTCAGGGAGCAGGCGGCAACAACCTAGAAACACAAGTGGGATGCGGGGCTCAGATTTACCTGAGGCTCAGAAATACCTGAGGCTCGGATCTACCTGAGGCTCGGATCTACCTGAGGCAAAGGGCGGGCGGCAGGGGCCTGAAGGAGAAGCCGAGAAGAGAGAGGAAGCGACGCTGGAAGTCTGGAGGGAGGTGGGGGGGAGGAGAGGAAGGGCAGGGAAGGAAAGGGTGCGAAGAAAGAAAATATCTAGCAGGTAAGAACATGCATCATACAAAACTTCCACTTGTACTCACTCACACTCACACTCACGTATCCTACCGACCTTGTGTGAAGGACCCGAGCCACAAGTCCTTGTCTTACTAAAAGGTTTTCTCTCCGCTGTTATATCCCCCTGTCAGTCCCACCACCCACCCACGCACCTTGTGTGAAGGACCCGAGCCACGAGTCCTTGGAGTCTGCCCCGCCCACATCGTCGTTTCTGAGGGGTTTGAGCATGATGCACGTGTGCTCTCCTGTGATGTCGCTCTACAAGGGGGAAAGGGAGGGGGGGGTTGGAGAGGGGGGGAGAGGGGGGAGAGGGGGGGAGAGGGGGGGAGAGGGGGGGAGAGGGGGGGAGAGGGGGGGGCGCACAGCAATGAGAGACTCTGGGCCCACATCGGCGTTTCTGTCTGAGAGGTTTTAGCATGATGCACGTGTGCTCTCCTGTGATGTCGCTCTACCAGGGGGGAAGGGGGGAGGATAGACACATATATGCATGCGAGTAAACAGAGGCATGGTGCAACAAGGCAGTACAGATGATCCTTTCTCTCCGGTGTCTGCCTGACGTATAGAGGCACAAACTCCTGTCTCTTCCAGAGGTTAAACAGCTGCTGAGCCAGCCCGAACAACACGCCCACCATGTAGTGCAGCTGTATGCTGTTGAGGTGCCCCCCAACCCAACACTTACAGGCGCTTGCCTGCCACTACCCTTAACAACTTACTGGAGTTTGCCTGACATATAGAGGCACGAACTCCTGTCGCTTCCAGAAGTTGAACAGCTGCTGCGCCAGTCCAAACGACACGCCCACATAGTGCAGCTGCTCCTGCCGCCTCTCCCCCACTGGCTGCAGCAGGGGAGGCAGTCCCGATCGCGGGGCGATTTGCTCTTCCAACAGTGATGCCTGGGGAAGGAAGTGGGGGGGAGGGCAAGGGGGGGGAGTGTGAGTGAGCGGGTTCAGTGAGAGGAGTGGGGAAGGCCACAACGTGGGTCGCCTTGACTCTCCAGCAGGTCTTCTAAATAAGGAGGGTTGAGTTGAGATTTCCAAGGAACACCCACCTACACAACCTAAAAAAGGCCTCCTTTTCTGCTTTTGAGTCGTCTAAAAAAAAGGCCTCCTTTTCTGCTTTTGAGTCATCTAAAAAAAAGGCCTCCTTTTCTGCAGTCTGTTGAACCATGCGTGAGAGGAGTCTAATTTTATTAGGCTCCTCAAAAATAGCCAGCCCCCCTTACCCAGCACCAGAGGGTGGGGTGTGGAATGTTGTGGATCCATCCAGCAACATTCATTCCCCCTTCATTCCCCCTTCCCCCTTCATTCCCCCTTTATCCGTGAGACTCCTCAACATTCCAAGCAGCTCGAGAATCCACCCTACGGGATAGTGAGGAGAGTGAGGGATATCTGTGAGAGCACTCCAAGGGCTGAGCACTCCAAGCACTCAAAGCACCCTGCGGGCTAGTTGGGATATCTGTGCTCTCCACAGGACTCCAAGCTCTCCACAGGACTCCAAGCTCTCCACAGGACTCCAAGCTCTCCACAGGACTCCAAGCTCTCCACAGGACTCCACAACATTCCGAGCAGCTCGAGAATCCACCCTGCGGAATAGTTGGGATACCTGTGAGAGCACTCCAAGGGCTGAGCACTCCTTCCAACCCAACGATACCGTACCGATCCATTCTCCCAAGCCTCTTGGACAGCCTTGGAAGCAGCCTGGGACTTCTGCCGGCCCTCCTCTTCCTCCTCGCTCTCCTCCTCACTGTCGTCCTCCCCCATACTTGTCAGTTGCCCCTCATAGTATCTGTGAGGAGCAAAAGGGGAGCAAGGGAGGAATGAGAGAAACAACAGTAATATGGTGAATTTGGAGTCGACTCAAGAGTCACCTCGTTACAATGACACACAACATAAGGGGAGCAAGGGAGGAATGAGAGAAGGAAGAAACATTGTTATCAACACTGGTGCTTGCTTGTGCGCTCTTCTCTCCTCCTCCCTCATACTAGTCAGCTGCCCTTCTTAGTATCTGCGAGGAGCAAGAGAGGAACAAGGGAGGAATGAGGGAAGAAACATTGTTATCAACACTGGTGCTTGCTTGTGCGCTCTCCTCCCCACTCTCCTCCTCACTCTCCTCCTCACTCTCCTCCTCGCTCTTCTCCTCACTCTCCTCCTCGCTCTCCTCCTCACTCTCCTCCCCCATACTTGTCAGCTGCCCCTCGTAGGATCTGAAAGCAGGAAGGAGCCACGGAAGGAGCAGCAAAGGACTGGTATCACGAGCACTTGCAATGTCACCTGCCTGCGGTAGCATCATGCTGCAGCATCATGATGATACAGACAGCGTCACAGCAGATCAACGGCGCATTATGTGGGCAGCAGATCAACGGCTCTGGATGCATTACCTGGACAGCAGATCAACGGCTTTGGATGAATTACCTGGGCAGCAGATCAACGGCTTTGAATGCATTATCTGGGCAGCAGATCAACGGCTTTGAATGCATTACCTGGACAGCAGATCAACGGCTCTGGACCCGTATCCCGCGTGCATCAGATCGGGATGAACGGCTATGCGCACAACCCGAGCGCCGGAGAGCGAAGGGAACTCGGAGTCTTGGAACTGCTGGGAGAGCGTCCACGGTAGGAGGTCGCCCGTGGGCTGATGGCCCTGGGATAAACCCTTTAGGGCTGATGCCTTCGATATTTCGCCCTCCAGACACACCTGGAGAAGAGCAGAGCAGAGGGGGGGGAGACGGCATACAGAGCAGAGCAGAGGGGGGGGAGAGCGAAGGGAACTCGGAGACTTGGAACTGCTGGGAGAGCGCCCACCGTAGGAGGTCCCCTATGGGCTGATGGGCCTGGGAAGACCCTTTAGGGCTGATGCCTTTGAGATGTCTCCCTCGAGGCACACCTGACGAGGGGAAGGAAAGAGGCGAGAGGAAAGAGCAGGAAGGAGCAGGAAAGAGCAGGGCAGCGAGGAGAGGGAAGGGAACTCGAAGTCTTGGAACTGCTGGGAATTGTTGTTGGCAAAAAATCAAGCAAGCAGTTGCTTGATTTGAACCAATCACACATACGGGCACGGCTCACCTGCAGCACACATAGAATGTCTGGCCCACACCCCCGCAAAAACCAAAACCCCGAAACCTTGTACCTGCAGCACACACGGGCACAGCTCACCTGCAGCACACACAGAATGTCGGGCAGGGACGTTTGAGACTCGTCCACTGGGCCTGCAAGGGTGGAGGGCAGGGGGGGGGAAATCGAAGGTCTTTTTAGGCGCCTACAAAATCGTCTCAAACATATGAAGAAGATTTACTAAGCTCCTCAAACATTTGCCTGGCAGGAACGTTTGAGACTCTTCCATCGGGCGTGCATGGGGGGAGCGCAGGGGGAGAGATAGAAGAATCATGAGTACAATGGGCAAGCGTTTTGAAACGACTTAAACACCAACCTGGTGTATTCACAACCTGCATGCATTCTCCAGAATAGAACGAACAACATACCACGGAGGGCGAACAGGTGGTGCGCTGGTGCGCCGGGCATGAGCTGAAGGCTAGTCGTTCGTGAGAGGCAAAGAGGTGCATTAGCAACTTGCGAGCGCAAGTTCTAGGGTAGAAAGAGCGTACCAAGCAGAACGAATAGGTGGTGCGCTGGCGCGTCTGACATGAGCTGCAGATCATTGGGAGTGTTCTTATAATGAGACGACACGTACAGTGCCATCATCCTCTGTCACATAGAAAAACAATCAAGGGAGCGGCAAAAAAATAGAGGGGGAGGGAGGGGGGAGGGGGGGGGGGGGGGTTTCAGGGGAGAGGCAAGAAAGGAGGGGGTGGGGGGGCAAATATGTGGGGAGAGGCAAAATTATATGGAGAAGGAAGCTAGGAGAGAAATCAACAAGTGGGTGAAAGGGAACGGAATGGGAGAGGGTCAACAAGACGAAAGACGGACCTGGAGAATCAAATAAACGAATGGAAAATAAATATATATATTAAAAATAATGAATTCGAAAAACAAACAAAAGGAAAGAGACTGACCTGGAGGAAGAGCTCAGAGGCAGAGTGGAAGGAGAAGAGCGTGTCTCGGTTGACGTAGAAGAGCTCACACTCGTCTGGATGGGGCATGCTGGGAGGGTAAAGGAGGACGCATGTATGTATGGGGAGGAGAGGAAAGAGTGGGTGGGCTAGTGGAAGGGGAAGAACGTGTCTTGGCTGACGTAGAACAGCTCGCACTCGTCAGGGTGCGGCATGCTGGGAGGGTGGGGTGGGGGGTAGGGGTGGCCCGGGTGCGTGCACGGAAGAAGGCATATGAGTGGGTAAATGGACAGAAGGTGTGTGTGGGTGAGTGGAAGGAGAAGAGATTGCCGCGGCTGACGTAGAAAAGCTCAAACTCGTCTGGATGGGGCATGCTGGGAGGGTGGGGCAGAGAGGGCGTACGGGTGGTGGGAGGGGAGAGTGCACATGTGAAAAGGCAATGGGGGCTGGGAGGGCAGCAGAGAGTGGAAGGAGAAGGGCGCGTCGCGGTTGACATAGAACAGCTCACACTCGTCAGGGAGCGACATGCTGGGGGAGGGGAGGGAGGACGCATGTATGGGTGGCGCGGCAATGACAGAGCAGTTGCAGAGGGTTTAGGGGGGGAGGAAGAGCTCAGAGGCAGAGTGGAAGGAGAAGGGCGTATCGCGGTTGATGTACAACAGCTCGCACTCGTCAGGGAGCGGCACACTGGGGGAGGGGCGGAGATATCGGCAGAGGATGTGTGGGTGATTTTTGAGTCGACTCAAAAATCAGGGGCGGAGATATCGGCAGGGGATGTGTGGGGGGTGGGAGGGGGGATGAGTGGATGGGAGAGTACGAGACGAGTGGACCAGACGAGTGTGTCGTGCCTGTGCACCTTACCGAGCCTGTGCTTCACCAAGCCTAGCACTTACCGGGCCTGCAGCTTCGGCACATGGGACGTGGCGACCAGGCACAGCAGGTGGTTGAGCCACTTCTCCACGGGGTCGCACTCCTCGTACCAGGCGACATGCTGCTCGTGGTGTGCCGCTGAATAACAACCCATGGGCCAGTTGACAAGAGAGGCCTTACCGAGCTTGCAGCTTGGGCACGTGGGACGTGGCATCGAGGCACAGCAGGTGGTTGAGCCACTTCTCCACGGGGTCCCCCTCGGCATAGCGGATCGGCTCCTGCAGCTCCACCTCCCGCAGCACCCGCACAGTCACCCCACTGCCACTGCCTCTGCCATCCGCGCTTGAAGCAGCACCAGCAGACGTAGCGCCGGCAGCAGCAGCCCCTTTGGACTGTTCTCTCAGCTGCTGGATGAGCTTGAGAGAGAGGGAGCGGCCCGTGCCCTCATACCTGGTGGGTGGGTGGAGGTGGGATAGGGGACGCAGGAGATCGGGAGGACTTGAGTCGACTCAAGAGTGTCACCTCGGCTCCTGCAGCTCCACCTCCCGCAACACCCGCACTGACACCCCACTGCCACTGCCATCCCAGTGTGAGGCAGCACCGCCAGAAGTGGCAGTAGTGCCAGCAGCAGCAGCGCCTTTGGACTGCTCCCTCAGCTGCTGGATGAGCTTCAGAGAGCGGGAGCGGCCGGTGCCCTCATTCCTGGTAGGGGGAGGGGCGAGGGGGGAGACTTGAGTCAGCTCAAGAGTGTGTCACCTTAGCTCGTGCAGCACCACCTCCCATAACACCTGGGCAACAACAACGCCACTGCCGCTGCCATCCGCGCTCGCACCACTACTAGCACTGGCAGCACAACCACCTGCAGCAGTGGCAGGAGCTTGAGGGAGACGGAGTGGTGTTAGGCTTTTGAGAATTCTAAAAAAACTAGCAGCAGCTTGAGGGAGAAGGGGCGGCCTGTGCCTTCGGAACTGGTGGAGGGGTGGAGGTGAGAAGTGAAGATACGGTAGGGGAGGAGGAGGGGTGGAGGTAGGAGAGAGCCTGTACTGTACCATACTCCTTACAAGCTGACCCATAACTATCACATACCCGTTGACTGTAGACCCTATGAACACCAGGTACGGCCCCAGCAGAGCCTTCACAATGGGCAGGGGGATGGCTGCATGCTGCATACCCGTACTCCTTACAAGTAGACCCGTTATAACACATACCCGTTGACTGTAGACCCCATGAACACCAGGTACGGCCCCAGGAGAGCCTTCACCATCGGCAGGGGGATGGCCGCTGCCTCGTCTATCACCAGCAGCTCGGCCTGCTGCACCCTCTCTGCATGCTGGGGCATCACGTACTGTTAGAGCGGGACCAGGGGGTGGGGGGGGGGGCAGCGGGGAAAGGGAGTATTGGTCACTGCGTCATCTATCACCAGCAGCTCGGCTTTTGAAGCGCCTCAAAAAATCATCTATCACCAGCAGCTCGGCTTTTGAAGCGCCTAAAAAAATCATCTATCACCAGCAGCTCGGCTTTTGAGGCGCCTCAAAAATCATCTATCACCAGCAGCTCGGCTTGTTGGAACAAGGAACCTCTCTGCATGCTGTGGCATCACGTACTGAAGGGGGCGGGTGGGGGGAGTGAGCAGAGGAACGTGAGGTACAAAAAAGCAGAGGCTTGACCAGTAGGGAGTGCCTCGGCTTTGTAATGTAGGGCGCCTAACCCCACGATCGCCCGGTTGAAAACCGTGTTGGTGCCCTCGGCCAGCTCGCAGTCGATGTGCTCCCCATGCTGATGCCCCATGCACTCACATCGATGACTGATGCCATCGGGTGCTCCTTGCTCCCGATGGCATCAGTCACACTCCCCATGCCCTCACTCACCGGGATGGTCTGCCTGTGCTGGTGAAACACGTTGACCCGAACAATAGCTCGGTTGAAGGCAGGGTTGGTGCTCTCCATGAGCTCGTAGTCGATCTGCTCCTTGTACCCCCCAGCGTCAGTCACACCCCCCATACTCTCACCTGGATGGTCTGCCTGTGCTGGTGAAACACGTTGACCCGAACAATGGCTTGGTTGAATGCCGGGTTGGTGCTCTCGACCAGCTCGTAGTCGATGTGCTCCTTGTACCCCACGGCGTCAAACCCCTTGAACACAAACGCTTCTATATGCTCTCAACTTCCCCCCAATGCCCCCTCCCTCTCTCCCTTCTCCCACCTGGATGGTCTGCCTGTGCTGGTGAAACACATTCACTCGCACTATGGCTCGGTTGAAGGCAGGGTTGGTGCTCTCGACGAGCTCATAGTCGATGTGCTCCTTGTACCCGACAGCATCAAACCCCTTGAACACAAACTCAAAGAGTGTCTTGAGATTCTCGGGGCTCGGGGCCGTGACGAATATGTTGGAGTAGCTGCCAGCGTAGGTCAAGGGGACGGGAGCAAAGGGGAGGAAGGGAGGAAAGGGGTAATATGGAGGAAACTAAAAGTGAGTCCTTATAGTATTGGGGCTCAGAGCCATGGCGAATATGTTGGAGTAGCTGCCAGCATAGGTCAAGGGGACGGGAGCAAAGGGCAAGGGAGGGCAGGCAGGGCAGGGAGGGCAGGCAGGGCAGGGAGCGCAGGCAGGGCAGGGATGGCAGGGAGGGCAGGCAGGGCAAGGATGGAAACAAACAAACTCAAAGAGCGTCTTGAGATTCTTGGGGCTCGGGGCCGTGACGAATATGTTGGAGTAGCTGCAGGGCAGGTGGGAAAGAGAAGGACGAAAGGGAATGGGGGCAAAAGCAGCACTGCTTAAGAAAGCATTGAGTTGAGATTCTCAAGGATTGGGGCCGTGACGAATATGTTGGAGTAGCTGCAGGGCAGATGGGAACGTGGGTAGAGGAGGCTGCGGGGCGGGGGGAACAGTGTTGACGAATATGGTGGCGTAGCTGCAGGGCAGATGGGAACGTGGGTAGAGGAGGCTGCGGGGCGGGGGGAACAGTGTTGACGAATATGGTGGCGTAGCTGCAGGGCAGATGGGAACGTGGGTAGAGGAGGCTGCGGGGCGGGGGGAACAGTGTTGACGAATATGGTGGCGTAGCTGCAGGGCAGATGGGAACGTGGGTAGAGGAGGCTGCGGGGCGGGGGGAACAGTGTTGACGAATATGGTGGCGTAGCTGCAGGGCAGATGGGAACGTGGGTAGAGGAGGCTGCGGGGCGGGGGGAACAGTGTTGACGAATATGGTGGCGTCCAGAGCCGCTAATTTCCTTCTGCCTCTGGCTGCAGCGATGGCATCCACCCACTCACTCCCACAGACCAGTATCTCTCTAACCTAAGGTGATTCTTGAGTCGACTCAAAAATCACCAACCCAAACCACCCCACTCACCCCAAAGCCAGCCACAGCCACGCCCAGAGCCGCGGATCTGTCTCTGCCTCTGGAGGCAGTGATGGCAACGGTGGACCGCAGGGTATTCTCCGACACAGCATCGAGGAACGTGACCGCATATCCAACCCACATACCCCAGCCACCCCATTCGCCCCAGCAACCCCACTCACCCCAGCGCCACAGCACCGGCCACAGCCACGCCCAGAGCTGCAGATTTCCCCCGCCCTCTGGCGGCAGTGATGGCAACGGTGGACCGCAGGGTCTTCTCCGACACGGCATCAAGGAACGTCACCACCGCCTTTGCTTGGTCGAGCGTGCGGCACGTGGCTACTAGGGCGCCCACTGGCTGCGTGTCCGCTAGAGATTCCTTCAACTCGCGCAGCTCTCTGTCGGATTCTGACTCCACGGTTTCGCCCTGAAGGAAATATTGGGGGCGCAGGTGGGGTGTGGGTGGGTGGGTGGTACAGGGAAAGGGAAGGGAAGGGAAGGGAAGGGAAGGGAAGGGAAGGGAAGGGCAGGGAAGGGAAGGGCAGGGGTGCAACGGTGGACCGGAGGGTCTTCTCCGACACGGCATCCAGGAACGTGGCCATTGGCCTTGGCCTTGGCCTTGGCCTTGGCCTTGGCCTTGGCCTTGGCCTTGGCCTTGGCCTTGGCCTTGGCCTTGGCCTTGGCCTTGGCCTTGGCCTTGGCCTTGGCCTTGGCCTTGGCCTTGGCCTTGGCCTTGGCCTTGGCCTTGGCCTTGGCCTTGGCCTTGGCCTTGGCCTTGGCCTTGGCCTTGGCCTTGGCCTTGGCCTTGGCCTTGGCCTTGGCCTTGGCCTTGGCCTTGGCCTTGGCCTTGGCCTTGGCCTTGGCCTTGGCCTTGGCCTTGGCCTTGGCCTTGGCCTTGGCCTTGGCCTTGGCCTTGGCCTTGGCCTTGGCCTTGGCCTTGGCCTTGGCCTTGGCCTTGGCTTGGCCGAGCGTGCGACACGTTGCTTGCTACTAGCGCCCCCACGGGCTGCGTGTCGGCCAATCCATCCGTTCCTTCCCTGCCTCTGTTTTTGAGGCGCCTCAAAAATAAAATCCAATCCCTCCGTTCCTTCCCTGCCTCTGACTCCACTGCCTCGCCCTGAAAGAAAGGAGGGGGGAGGGGTATGTGGATATGTGGGTATGGAGGCACTAGGCGACTAGGGCCCAACCCACGGGCTGCGTGTCGGCCAAAGACTCCTTGAGCCTTCCTCAAGTCTTTGCCTGCCTCTGACTCCACTGCCTCGCCCTGAAGGAGGGGTGAAGGAGGGAGGAGGGGTATGTGGATATGGAGGAAATAGGCCACTAGGGCCCCCTCATTTAGCTTCCCTCAGTTCTTTGCCGGCCGACGTGTTCCCACGTGTTCTGACGTGTTCCCACGTGTTCTGACGTGTTCCCACGTGTTCTGACGTGTTCCCACGTGTTCTGACGTGTTCTGACGTGTTCCCACGTGTTCTGACGTGTTCCCACGTGTTCTGACGTGTTCCCACGTGTTCTGACGTGTTCCCTCAGTTCTTTAGCTTCCCACGTGTTCTGACTCCACCGTCTCGCCCTGAAGGAGGGTATGAAGGAGAGGGTGAAGGAGGGGGGGGAGGGGGGGCGTAGGTATGTGGGTATGGAGACACGTGGCCACTAGGCCCCTATTGGCTGGGTGCCAGTCAGCCAAAGACTCCTTGCAGATGCCGAATGTGGGAAGACAGAGGCAGGATGTTGAGCTCGTCGTCCAACACACAGCAGGTGGGGCAGGAGGCTCTCCAGTCTGACTTGAATGTAACACGCACCTCTGTCTGTGGCGTGGGTTGCAGGTGCCGCATGTGCGAGGACAGCGGCAGGATGTTGAGCTCGTCGTCCATCACACAGCAGGTGCGGCAGGAGGCGAGGGAGAGGATAAAGCGCTCGTTGAAGCGCCCCACCACGTCCCCATGCGATTCCGTCCTGTATCTTGCATGCACGTCCTGGTGGGGGTAATGGGAGCACACGTGGGATGGGAGCACACGTGGGATGGGAGCACACGTGGGATGGGAACACACGTGGGATGGGAACACACGTGGGATGGGAACACACGTGGGATGGGAACACACGTGGGATGGGAGCACACGTGGGATGGGAACACACGTGGGATGGGAGCACACGTGGGATGGGAGCACACGTGGGATGGGAGCACACGTGGGATGGGAGCACACGTGGGATGGGAACACACGTGGGATGGGAACACACGTGGGATGGGAACACACGTGGGATGGGAACACACGTGGGATGGGAACACACGTGGGATGGGAACACACGTGGGATGGGAACACACGTGGGATGGGAACACACGTGGGATGGGAACACACGTGGGATGGGAACACACGTGGGATGGGAACACACGTGGGATGGGAACACACGTGGGATGGGAACACACGTGGGATGGGAACACACGTGGGATGGGAGCACACGTGGGATGGGAACACACGTGGGATGGGAACACACGTGGGATGGGAACACACGTGGGATGGGAGCACAGAGGGGGGAGGGGGACACAGCAGGTGCGGCAGGAGGCGAGGGAGAGGAGGAAGCGCTCGTTGAAGCGCCCCACCACATCGCCATGTGGGTCTGTTCGGTATCTTGCATGCACGTCCAGTTGGATTGCAGTGGAAAATGGAGAGTTACAGAGCACTATTAAAGGCACAGCTTGACACATCTCGGGAGTGAGTGAGTGAGTGAGTGAGTGCGTGAGTGAGTGAGTGAGTGAGTGCGTGAGTGAGTGAGTGCGTGAGTGAGTGAGTGAGTGAGTGCATGAGTGAGTGAGTGCGTGAGTGAGTGAGTGAGCAGGTGAGTGAGTGAGCGAGTGAGTATGTGAGAAGTGACAGTGTGACGAGGAGAGTTTTGAGTCAAATCTAAAGAGCTGTACCATAGCAAGTGTGAAGAGGCGGGAGAGCGAAGTGAGCGACGACAGCAGCAGCACAATGATTCCGCCCCCTTCCACCGTCTCTATTGTGCGCGCCAGCAGGTTGGGGGTCAGAGCCTCGAAGTCCTGAGGTTTGGAAGCAGGGTTTGTAAGCAGGGTTTGTAAGCAGGGTTTGGAAGCAGGGAGAATATATAGAAACCGTGTGTAATGAGTCGACTCAAAAATCGACTCATTACACAGGGAGAACATATAGAAACAAACACAACTTCTGGATAAGAAAGAAGAGAGCAGCAGCAGCGCGAAAGTCCGCCCCCCTCCACTGACTCGATCGTGCGTGCCAGCAGGTCGGGCATCAGAGCCTCGAAGCCCTGGGATTCGTGAGTTGATTAGAGGCAGGACAGAGGAGCTCGTTGATGAGGACGGGTAAGCGTGCTGGGGGGGATTCAAGCGCCTGCCCTTCCCCTCATCAACGATTTCCTCATCAAGGGCGCTTGAATCCCCGCCAGCACGAAGGGCGGGTAAGGCCACTCATACTTTGATGCGCCTTGAACCACACCAGCACGCTAGGGTAGCAGCCAAACGTGTTGCGTAGCAGCAGTTGCGGATGCCTCCTCACCTTGCTACCATGCAAGTATTATGCCTCCTCGCCTTGCTACCATGCAAGTATTATGCCTCCTACCTGCAGCATACATATGCCATGAAGAGCGCACAGGGGTCGAGGGGTTGCGCTGGGGGCTCCGTACCCAAACACACAAGGAGTGCACCCCTGGAGTGCACACAGGGAGTGCAGTGCGCCATACCTGCAGCACGCACATGCCGAATGTGTTTCCGAGGATCTTGTGCGTCTCGGCGTAGTAGCAGTAGCGGATGGCCGTGGACGCCAGGAAGAGCGCAAAGGGGTCCTCCTTCTCGGGGTCCAGCAGCCCCCGCTGCATCATCTTCTTCATCTGCCTCATCCTCTTTTTCCGATTGCTGGGGTTTAAGGAAGGGGGAAGATATTGGAAGGGAAGTGGGGGAAAGGGTTTGGTAACAGAGATAGTCGATCCAGCAGCCCCGGCTGCATCATCTTCTTCCTCTGCTGCATGCGCTTCTTGCAGGGTTGCTGGGGGAAGGGAGCAGCGAGCAGGGAAGTCGAAAATCATATTTTGCCGCACTCAAATCATGAGAAGCCCACAAAACCCCAACCCCTTCAAGGTTTGATCAGCATAAAGCACAAGACTGATAAAACCCAAACCCCTTTTACAGATCTTGTGCTTTATAGATCCATAAAGCACAAGATCCAACCCCACGCAACCCATAAAAGGAGCAGCCGCAAAGGAAGGGACTCTTATGTGGCACCGCGGGACGTGTGGGGCTATGCGACCCGAAACCTCAACCCCTTACAGATCGTACAAGCAAAACCCTGTACCCCGTGCAGCGTGCCTTATTGAGGAAGAGGCATTCTTGTAGCACCACAGGACGTTAAGACCCGCTGAACCCTCAGCCCCGTGAACCCTAAACCCGCATAAACCCTGAAACCCCCTTCTCACATCCCAACCAGATCAAGACCTGCTCAAGAGAAGATCCTTCGGATCGAATTACCACACCAGAGAACATCGGAGCGCGAAGCACCCTCAACCCCGTGATAGCTACAGTAGCATAAACCCTGTCCCCAGCTGCTTTCGTCCACGTCAGTACCTGCTGAGAAATAGATCCTTCTTGTAGCACCAGAAGACATTGGGGCGCGAAGAGCCCTCCACCTCGTGACAACCATGGAGGCATAAACCCTGAGCCCCCCCTTGCTGTCGTCTCATCCACACCCGTACCTGCTGAGGAAGAGATCCTTCTTGTAGCACCAGAGCACGTTCGGCCGTGCCTTCACCACCGCCTTGGAAAGCATGTAGTGGAGATTCACCACCTGGTACAGTGACATCGGGTTACAATACAGTTGGGTTGCAATAGCGTTGGGTTACAGTCACATCCAAATGCGTCTTAAGAAAGGATGCGTTGTTGGCTCAGGGTTTTAAAGCTCCTAAAAAAAGCGGGTAAGATTAACGACACAATCTCACTCCCCTTATAAGCTTCATGTCCATCTGGGGAACTGCACAACTGCGAAAAGTATAACGAGTCGATCCGATCTTTAAAAGGCCGCACCTGCTCTCGTCCCTTGTCCCCCGCGATGACGAACATGGACCGCTGCCGCGACTTGACGATGTGACTTTTGAGTCGACTCAAAAGTCACCACGTTTAACGAGTATTCTAGACTCAAAATACCGCACCTGCTCTCGCCCCTTGTCCCCCACGATGACGAACATGGACCGCTGCCGCGACTTGACGCCATTCTCGACGAGGGTTCGAATCCTCGCATCCACCTTTTTCCTCATCGCGACGCTCGTCCGTTCAACACCCTAAATAAGCTTACGAATCAGCTCCTGAATAAATCTCTACAAATCAGTCCTAGGTGGCCGTAAAAACGGACTATTGGTCTAAGCCGCGGAAAAAAGGTAGCGCCCGCTTCCAGTTGACGCTTCCAGCTGACGACACTGTCCGTGACGAAACCGCTGAGCCCTAAGACTGAGGTCCTGTCTTGAAAACCAGCTCGCTGGATTGCTTCAGGTTTCCTTGACCTAACAATGCGGCATTACGAGCGCCTCTCCTCTCCTGCAGCCCAGCCCCCTCACGAGTGCGCTTCTATTTACTCGTCGTTCCTCTCAGTGCTACGGTTTCTGCGACTTCACTGCTATGGCGGTCTGCTGAGAGTTCTTCCTGTAAGCCAAGCGAAAACCCCACACACCGAAATTGCCCCACAGAATGTAAGGAAATTCCCTTTTCCCGGGCTCGACTACAGCGCGTACGCCCTCGACTCTCGAAAGTCCAGGCTCGGCCAACTTCTTCGGTCCCGAACCATTTCGCGAACCCAAACCTCGACGCGCAGCGCTTCCGTGGCTTTCGCCAACCGATTAGCTCCAACCTGTTCGCGTGGTTCTCGGCTAGCTCTGTTCGTGCCTATAATAAATGCCTAGGCCCTCATTTGTATCGACACTCTTGAATCACGGCTCCTTTATTATACTACCTGTTATTACTCTGATTAATTCATAACACAGAACGTGTGCGGTACAGCATTGCGAATGCAGAACAAGTGGGTGCTGAGAACAGTGCTCGAGGTTTTGCGGTTTGAGTGTAGATGCGTGGCTAAAACCTGAAACTGAACAGGAACTCCTTCTAGCCCTTCAACATATTTATAAGTTTATTTACCACAAGTTCACAGGTGTTATGTGTTGGAATCAGAAAACGATACCTGCTCCTTACTCGGATTACCACATTCGAGTACCCCAACAGACACCTCATTTCTCATGCATAAACGATTGTTTACCATACTACTTGTTGACGTGTTGCGGTGTACCTCACCCTAGAGTACTCCACATCCTCTCACCCCACCACCACCACCCACACAATCTGCTGTGGCAATAACACCACCCCGCACCTGCGGTCTTCCCACACGTCCATCCCTCTGACTCCCCTGGTGTTTTGATTGAGCCAGAGTCTGCTGTGCCCATTTCTTGCTTGTGAGTTGAGGCGTCTTGCATTGTTACCACACATCTCGCGGTGTTCTGCTAGGGCTGGAATCTGCAGTCCCCCACCCTTGCTGCATCTTGTTCCCATCATACACCGCCAGCCCCACGCTCGGAATCTCATCCGGAGCCTCCTTCACCCATGCGTATGTCCCCTTTTCAAACATCCTCACTATCTGCTCCAGGCTCTTGCCCCTCGTCTCCGGCGCGAAAAAGTAGAAGAACACAAACCCAACGACCCCCACACCTGCAAACATGAAAAACGGCCCAGCAGGACTCCCAGTCGCGTCCGCCAGGCTCAGAAACGTCATCGCAACCACTCCCGACGCGATCCTATTCACCGCTGTGCCAATCCCGGTCGCTTGTGCTCGGAGTCTCAGTGGGAAGATCTCTGAGGTGTAGAGCCAATTGATGGGGCCGATGCCGATGGAGAAGAAGGCCACGTACACGCAGATGCCTGTGAATGCCACGATGGCTGCAGCTGGGACGCCCGTGGTGGCCGTGGTGTCCATGTCGATGTCGGCAATGGTTGGCAGCTTGAGGAACGCCAGCGCTTGAGTGAGGAGCGCAGCGGTCATGCCTGGGGGGATGGGGATGGGGTGTTGGAAGGGGGATGGGGGATGGGGAAGAAGGGAGCGGGTATAGAGCCAGTTGATTGATGGGCCAGAGCTGATATGGAAGAATCCCTCCCTGTGCACGCAGATGCCTGTGAATGCCACGATGGCTGCAGCTGGGATGCCAGTGGTGGCGATGTCGGCGATGGTTGGGAGCTTGAGGAAGGCCAGAGCTTGAGTTATAAGAGCAGCGGTCATGCCTGGGGGGATGGGGATGGGGTATTGAGTCGACTCAAAATACACCTGGGTATTGAGTCAGAAGCGCGGCACTCATGCCTGCACGGATGGGGGAAGGGTATTGGGGAGATACGGGTGATGTGAGGCGTTTAGAAAAACGGTTGGAAGGTTGAGGAAGGCCAGGGCTTGAGTCAGGAGAGCAGTGGACATGCCTGGAGGATGGAAATAGAATTGCAGGAAGTTGTGGGAGGGAGCTCGAGGAGGGCCAGGGCTTGAGTCAAAAGTGCAGCGTGCAACCTTCATCTACACCCCTAGATAACCCAATTTGGTTATAATACCCAAGTATAAAGAACCATGTAGGATAAATAGAATGTTCTATTTTAACACAACGGTCATGCCTGGAGGAACGGGGGAGGGGTATTGGGGAGACACAGGTGATGTGAAGCGTTTAGAAAGATGATTGGGAGCTTGAGAAAGGCCAGAGTTAGAAGCGCAGTAGTCATGCCTGCAGGGATGGGGTTGGGGTATTGGGGAGATGGGTGGGAGAAGATTTCTGAGGCGCCTAAAAAATCAGGAAAAGGAATGGGGTGTTGGGGAGGTGGGTGGGAGGAGATATGAGGCACCAATCCCCACCACCAACACTGACCTGCTGTGGAGACGAGAAGCAGTGGCCGCCGCCCAAAGTTATCCAGAAGACACGTGGCAATGCCAACGAAAGACACCTTGATCACCCCCATCAGCAGCGTCGCTCCTAGCAGCGCCCGTCTCGACGTGATCCCCGCATCCCTCAGCACCACTGGGGAGTAATACACCGTCGCGTCAATCCCTATAGCCTGCTGCAGGAAATTCGTCCCTATGCACACAAGGAGCATTCTCCCCACGGCCGGAGTCGGCCATAGAAGCTCCTTCCACACCCCCTTCCCTCCTGCTCCGTCCATCGGCCTTATAACGTGTATTTCTTGCTCCTCCTCGTCCACATATTCGGTCTCCTCCCCACGCCCACTACCGGATCCTCCTAGCCGTTCGCGAGAATTGCTTCTGCCCCGGGCAGCTGGGGAAAAATCTGCTCCTGCTGCCGGCCCTTTGCCGACGATTTCTTCTTTCAGCCCGGCTGCGTCCAGAATTTCCAGGAACCTTTCATGGGCTTCTTCATGGCTGTCTGATATGGTGAGCAGAATATCCTTAGCCTTTTTCACCTGCCCGTGCATGATCAGCCAGCGAGGGGATTCGGGGAGGCACAAAACTCCTGCTGCGAGAATAAAACCCGGAACGGCCCCGAGTCCCAGCATCCATCGCCAGGCGGAATCCACGGGCAGCCCGGAAAGAAGAAATGAGGTCAAGAAGCCGATTACTATGCCAATGTTGATAAAAAGCTCTCCGAAAGAAACCAGCCCGCCACGCTGACCGGGGGGGGAAATTTCCGAGATGAACAGAGGAGGCAGGGCCAGACCGAAACCGACGCCAATGCCGGTAATGAGACGGCCTGTAAGGAGGATAGCGTAGGTCGGTGCTAGCGCCATGCATAAAGCCCCGGCTATAAAGATCGACGCGGCTGTTCCCATGGCGAATCTACGGCCGGCGAAATCCGCGAGTCTACCGGCTGATAGCGCACCAACGAGGGAGACTATATTGAGGATGCCGACGAAGATCTCCTGCTGCACGTGCGAGAGGTCGAAATCCTCCGCCACGAAGATGAGGGCCCCGCTGGTAACGCCAATGTCTGCATGCCACGTGGCGAGAGGGAGGACGAGACGAAATACAAGGAATTCAAATGACACGACGTGACGCTATAAGTCGTGATGACATGGGATAGGGAATGTAGCACCACGGCTGAAAGCGGACTGTAGCACCAGCAGAGGAGGCACGGCTAGACGGGATGGGGAATGTAGCACCCCGGCTGAAAGCGGCAAATCAAGCAGGAAAAGGAACCATGGGAGTGACCTAGGATTCTGTTCCGCAGTCGTCATAGCGGAACAAGCTGGCATGTGCTCCACGTTTCATCGGACGGCTCTCAGCTATTGCGTACCATATCCGAGGAGAGCCGACGATATCGATGCGAGAAGCGAGACCGAAAGCACGTACGGTTTGACCAAGCCCCAGCCACCCCCGCGACTGTCGCTATTTGAGTTTAGAGTCGATTCACTAATGCTCTTTGTATCGCGTACCATATCCGAGGAGAGCCGACGATATCGATGCCAGAAGGGAGACCGACAGCACGTAGGGCTTGACCGAGCCCCAGCCACCCCCGCGACCGTTGCTATAATTGAATTTTGAGTTGACTCACTAATGCTCTTGCTGTGGCGTAAAATATTCAAGGAGAGCAAAGCCGATTGCATTCTTCAATCCTCATGAGACTGTCTCAGCGTACCATATCCGAGGAGAGCCGAAGAGATCGATGCGAGGAGCGAGACCGAGAGCACGTACGGCTTGACCGAGCCCCAGCCACCCCCGCGACCGTTGCTATCCCCGCCGTCATTCGCGGGCCTCGTCTTCCCGTCCCGTGCAGGGCTAGCCGGCGGGCTTCGCTCGTTAACCGAAAAGTACGACGATCCTGAGCCATTGACTGCGGTGCTCGCATTTGATTGGCTGTTAGTGGTGGGATGGCCGGCAGGAGGATCGGATCCTGACCGTTCATCTGTTTCGCCGCTCGTCATGATTGCAGCACGTGACCTAGATGTTACCCGATAACAGGTTGATCAAGCGTCCGGAAAACCTAGAACTCGCCGAATTCTCTCTTATAACCTTCAGCCTCTCATCTTAGTAACGAGGACATTGCATAGGGAGAGACTGCTAGGGAGCGCATGCGAGTAGCAAGATTTCGGAACCCCAATCTCTCTGGCTTATCCAAGACTTCCAACCCCCAGCAGTTCCAAACTGGATAAGACGTCGTGGGGAGAGAGCAAGAAGCCGAGAACACACGGAGCTCGGAAGTCAGTCAGTCAGCCATGGTACAGTACAATAATGGTGACCAGCTTCAAGAAATCGAGGAATTGGAGAAAACGGGGAAACAGGAGAACTCTGGGAATCGGCAAAAATGGGGGAGACCTAGGAATTGGCGGAGAAGCTCTTGCTCGATGGCGGAGTTGGCTTGGGGGAATCCGGGGTCAGCGAAGTGCTCAAGGAATCGGAGGAATCGAGGTCTGGGGGAGGAGGAGGGGGGGTGGCGCGCGCAGGAAAGAGGGAGTGATGGGGAGGATGAGGGGTGGGCTGGGGGAAGGTTGGGGAGGGGCCGGCAGCAGGCTTGCGGAATGGCGGAAATCGGGAGGTGGCTGGGTGGGGAGGAAATGGGCTGCGCGGGGGGCGCTGTAGAAAGCCAGTGCCCGGGGAAGGAACGAGGGGGAGAATTTCGCGAACAGCTACGAGCGTCGCAATATAGGCCGATGCGAAAGTCCGTCAGTCAATCTTCATTTGAGTAACCAACACCTATCTCCAAGATCTAGGGAAGAAGAGATAGCGTCAGCCAACCAATCAGCACACTCCTGCCAATGGGGCAGTCACCTGGCAAGCGGTCGCATAACGCGTTGCGAACTTGCGATGCGACTGGCAGCAGCAATGTCGCCGCACTTGACGGCCATTCAGGTGATAATTGAGTCAGATCAAACAAGACTACACAAAAAAACTATCAACAAGACTTTAAGTGAGAATGAGCTTTACACAGGAAAAACAGCCCTAAAACAATTCCTATGTGCTCTCTTCACCATTCTTTGGCATCTCCTTGCATCGCTTTTGTCCACTAACCCGCCTACACAGGCGAACGGCCCCGTCTGCTTGCCTCTCCACCTCACAGATGCATCCCGGAAAGGGGTTCGCGTAGAAGTTTTCCTCTAGCTTGGGATTCTCGCCAACCTGGCGCAAGTGAGGAGCGCCCAATCCCTGTTTGTGTGCTTGCCTGATAAGCCTCCGGAAGGCCTTCCATCTGATTTGGCGCGACTTCAATTGGTCAATATACCGAATGATGGCCTCCCTGCAACATAGGCATAGAAAAGAAAAGGAATGTGGATGGGGGGAAGGAAGTAGAGAAAAAAAAAACCATTCTTGCACTTCTTCCTTCCCTGATACGGTACAACCCACTGATACAGAATCTCTAACCGCTACAGAGCAATCCACTGTAACAGTGACTTCCTCACCTGTCCGGAATGTCGGACTTTCTACGGTCCTCGAACATCCCATGTCATGTTGCCCTCGTACGTGCACATTGCTCTCCACCGCCACACTGTCCCTCTCACCTGTCCGGAATGACGGACTTTCTACGGCCCTCGAACATCCCATGTCATGTTGCCCTCGTACGTGTACACAAACACATTGCTCTCCACCGCCACACTGTCCCTCTCACCTGTCCGGAATGACGGTCTTCCTATGCCCCTCAAACCGTCTGTGCCCCTGAACGGCCCGCGCCATGTTGCCCTCATACGTGTACACAAACACGTCGCTCTCCACCGCCACAGTGTAGTCAACCGCTGCCAGCCGGTTCTGGTATGCGCCTAGGCTCGCCAGCTCGTCAGGTGTAGCCAAGGTGCTGTGCGTGTACGTGTGCGGATACAGGCGAGTCAGGTCCTGGTGGCAGGGACGGTGAGGGATGAGTGAGAAAGCAGAGGGAAAACAGTAATTGAGAAAGGGAGAGAGTGAAATGGGGGGAGATACAGCGTAGTCCACTGCTCGCAAACTACTCAGCTGCTGCCAGCCGGTTCTGGTACGCCTATGCTCCTCTGCTGGTGCCTGCCAGCGTGCGGTGTGTGTATGTGTGCAAGTAAACCAGCTCACCTCGAGCCCATTGGAGCCGTAGATGTCCCCAGCAGCCACATAGATGAGCGTCTTGTTCGGATACCCCATAGCCCGCAGAAACAGCGCCGTCTCGCGGGGGGTGAGCGGGCACGCCCCCTCGGTTCTGCGCGCCTCCCCATCGATCTCCTTCTCCTTCCACCGCGAGTTGTTGAGCCGCATGGCCTTTAGCTCCTCCCTCTCGCGCTCTCCCAGCCCGTGGTCGCACCCAGTGAAGGCCAGCATGTCTTTCTCGTATCTGGATGGAAGGGGGGGAGAAGAGAAGCCGAAAATCTGATGCCTTCTGCTGCCTACAGTCCGTGGTCGCACCCAGTGAAGGCCAGCATGCCCTTCTTGTATCTGGATCGTATTTGGATGGTGAAAGGGGAGAGAGTAAGGAAGGGACGAGGGAGCAGAGAAGGGGAGTGGGAGACGGGGGTCGATCTCCTTCTCCTTCCACCGTGAGATGTTGAGCCGCATGTAGTTTTGAGGAGCCTCAAAACTAGACTTCCACCGTGAGATGTTGAGCCGCATGGCCTTCATCTCCTCCCGCTCTTCTGCCTGCAGCCCGTGGTTGCAACCAGTAAAGGCCAGCATGTCCTTCTCATATGTGGATACCAAATGAGGGAGGCAAATGCACAGGGGGAAGGGAATGAGAAGTGCAGGGCAATGTACGCCCCCCTTGCATGCAACCTCGAGATCAGATTCGCTGCAGTCTGCGAGATTGCCAGCGTGTACCGCAGCTATCCGTGGTTGGCAAAATACAACAGCAACCTCCTCCCACAACCCACCTCAAGAGGACCAGCCCACGAGTGACTCAATGCACCCACCTCAAGTGCAGGGCAATGTATGGCCCCCTTGCATGCAATCTCGAGATCAGATTCGCTGCGATCTGCGAGATCGCGGGCGTGTATCGCAGCGACCGGTAGTTGGCGCGGCACCGGAGCCGTTGGATCGAGTCCGGAACCCCGTTGTTGGCGAGACGCGAGTCAGTGAGAGGGAAGCGCATCACCCGGTGCTTCTTGACTCTGGGCAGCAGATCCTCCCGGTAGTAGGAGAACTGGGGGGCGTGAAGGGAAAGACAGTAAGGGGAGTGGGATGTTGGCGAGACGCAAGTTTGTGAGAGGGAAGCGCATCACTCGGTGCTTCTTCACTTGAAGCAACAGCTCTCCACTCAACGTAAGTAGGAGAGCTGGGGAGGGAAGAGTGGGGAAGGGAGGGCTGGACTGAGTCAGCATGCCAGGATGCCGGCATATTCAGAGACCATGCACACAATGGCAAAACCATGAGAAAGCCCTGACAGAACATAGCAGGGTGTTTCTGAGAATCCTCGAAAACACCTGCAAAACCACGTGACTGAGAGCCTCAGTCACCTAGAGAACGAGCATGAGAATTCTCAAAAACACCCTGCAAAACCACATGACTGAGAGCCTCAGTCACCTAGAGAACTAGCATACACGCGAACAGGAAACAGGGAGCTTTCAGGGGGCTCGAATGATCTGCACTAGAGGGCATGGCATACCACTAACAAAGGCCCATGATGAGCCAACGATGAAGGAAAGAGTACTGGCGACCAGGAGACAGGGACACGGCTTACCAGCAGCCAGGAGATGTTTGAGTCAACAAAAAAGTTAAGCCGTGTACTCAGACAAGTCAACAACTTCTCGGCCGTGTATTCACCGCGTCCTCAGAAGACGCGGGCACAGCTCACCGGCGGCGAGGAGTCGGGGAACTTCTCGAGAGGCTGGATGTGCTCCACTCGCTTGGGCCATGCAACAAGGGGCTGAGGGACCATGGGTCTACCATGGCATGCCATAGGCAAGCGAGCGTACCGGCGACCAGGAGACTGGGAACTTCTCCAGAGGCTGGATGTGCTCCACTCGCTTGGGCAGCTGGCGCACGATTCGGATGTCCTTTTTTAAAGACATGATGAAATGGTCCAAGTCGAAGATGTCCTCGAACTCGCTGGGAGGAGGACGGGAGGGGGGTGGGGCGGGGGGAGTGTGGAGCGTTGGAGAGGGGTCAAAAGGGGCACAAAGAAGGGGCCACAATGAAGGTCCTGATGTCTTTCTGTAGAGACGTGATGAAGTGGTCCAAGTCAAAGATATCCTCACTCGCTGGGAAGCGGGGGAAGGGCGGGCAGGGGTGGGGTTGGGTGGGGGGAGCGCAGGAGAGGGGCACATGGAGGGTCCAAGCCGATTACATCTTCCTTTTTGAGACATCTCCTCGAACTCACTGCATGGAGACAAGCACACAGGGGAAGGACAAGGGGAGCGAAAGATGTATTTTTTGAGCGAGCTGATAAAGTGGCCCAATCCAAGTCAAATATGTCAAAGACCTGGAGGGGGAAGGGGGGGGGAGAGGGAGGGAGGCGGGGGGGGGAGGGGGAGGCACACAGAGAGGAAGATCAGGCAGCGCAACAACACATCGAGTGGCTAGAGAAGTGCAGACCAGGGGAACAAAAGAGGGGTCAGCATGAGCGACATGAGAGGAAAGGGAGGAGACGGGGCCAGACGATTTACCTGGGGTCGGCCCAGAGGAGGTGTGATCTAATTCAGGAACGACGAGAGGGAGTGACCTAAGGGAACAGTCGCAAGCGAGGAAGCAGCCGCAAGCAAGGGAGAAACCGCAGGAGAGCAACTGACCTGGGGTCGGCCCAGAAGGAGGTGTGGTCTAGTTCAGGAACGACGAGAGTCACGTTCATAATGCGGGCCACAGCCACCATGTCACAGATCTGGGGGAGGCGGGGGGGTGGGGGGGTGGGGGGAGGAGAGAGAGAGACGGGTGTGGTTGGGTGGGAATGGGGCATACAGAAACCTTCGTAAGTCGGGCCACTGCTGCTAGATATTTCTGAGAGGTGATATCAGTAGCCCCCATCATCACATATATTTTTGAGATGCGCACCTACAAGGGGACCGCACAGAATGAGGGTCGCAAGTGAAGATGGGAGATGGGTACAATGATAGTAGTGAGGATTGAGTCTCGCTAAGGGTGTCCGTAAGGGGTTTCAGATTTTGCTCCGTTCTTAAGATTCCAAGCAACAATTCACAGCAGCTACGATTCAGTTCAGCCCACAAAGCAGCTACTCCTTGGTTTGAAGCCTGGCAAAGCCTGACCTCCTTGGTTTGAAGCCTGACAAAGCCTGACCTCCTTGGTTTGAAGCCTGACAAAGCCTGACCTCCTTGGTTTGAAGCCTGACAAAGCCTGACCTCCTTGGTTTGAAGCCTGACAAAGCC